GTAGTAGCAAAGTAAGAATTCTAACGTGTTAGGCTTGTCAAATCAAACATAATAAGCCCAAACTCAAAGTATCTACTAATAGCCGTTGAAGAGTTCCACCTATCCACCTTCTGGCCTTACCATCAGATCAGGTCAACAATATCGAACCATTGTACTATCAACGGAAATAGCAACACTTGCAAAGTTTCAAGTCAATATGACAATTAGAAGTAGGTTAAATTCATCATTAGCTATTTTTCCACCCTTAGGGGTGGTATTTTTTTTTTGAAATTTAAATGGGACCAATCTGGAAGTATACACTTTCAAACAAAACAAAAATTGTCCAAATCGGTCAATAAATGACGGAGTTCTGAGGTAACAAACATAAAAAAAAAAAACAAATAAAAATACAGTCGTATTGAGAACCTCCTCCTTTTTGAAGTCGGTTGACAAGAGGTGCTCTATCTAGTCGGTAAATCCGCTCGCATAATACGTCGATATTATAATAATATCCCGTCTTACTCAGGCAGTATAGCTTTATAAGGTTCATTAATTTTACAGGTTGTTATATACTTTATAATATTTTAATGTATTTAATATATTTATTTTAAATATAAGGCTTTGTTGGATCAAAAAAATAAAATAATATGTGACCGTGTGTCTAATGTGCAGTAATGGTCGAGATATATATATATATATATATATATATATATATATATATATATATATATATATTCTCCTAGGCTTACCATCAACTTTTTTACGACCTAAACTAAATCGTTTCGGCGATTTCGTAACATGAGATTCATAAGACGTTAAGTTTAATGTCAGCTTAAACAAAATATAGATTTTAGACTTAAATTAAAAATTAAAAACCCCCAACATAACAACCTATTTATTGTTGTTTTTTATTGAACCTAAACACGATATTTTTGCGGTAATTTACTTTATTTTTGCTATGTTAAAGAGTTGAGTATCTGCAGATACCAGGAGACGCTGCAGCATCAGACCAAGCTGCAGCATCAGGCCAACCACATCACTGCAATGTCATTAAAGTAACGGGATGCCAAGAGTCGAATTGATTAGATACGTGTTCAGTTGTTCATATCCTTTTACACTATTATCTAGAAAAGAGCTGATAGATTTATAGCTAAAACACTCTCAATCAAGTCTCCTTAAACAAAAAAAAAAACAAAATACGTAATTAAAATCGCTTCTTCTATTTGAGCGCTACGATGCCATAGACAAATACACAGATACACAGACAACAAACACACAGATACAAAAACAAGAAACACACAGACACACAGACAACAAGCACACAGGTACATACATTAAACTTATAACTCCCCTTTTTTGCGTCGGAGGTTAAAAATGAAACTCAAACGTTAATGTCATTTATAGTAGCACAACTCGATCCAACTTACAACACTGGTGATGGTATGTAATTTAACGATTCAATTTAAAAACTTAAATCCATACTAATATTATGAATGTGAAAGTGTGTTTGTTTGTTTGTTTGTTTGTTTGTTTATTTGTCCTTCTTTCCCGTCGAAACGAAGTGACGGATTGACGTAATTTTTTATTTTGATAGTTGGAGGGCTCTAGAGCAATATAATATTACATAGGCTACTTTTCACCGCGGGAGATTATCTAATTCCCACGGGAAACACGTTGTAATACAATCAAAAAGAATATTTATGATCCGAATTCCTTGAAACTTGGTATTCATCCTATAAGGGTGTATAGAGGATGAAAGTTTGTATGTAACTACCTTTTTAGAGCTATTTTTGTACTTTTAGCGCGAGCGAAGCCGCGGGTTCTGCTAGTAGTACTCTATTGGAAATAAATGGCTATGTTAAAGTCGATGGTTGATTATCAGCACAGTAGTCATCTTGCTTCAAAACACTGTATGATAATATGTATGATGATGATTATGATGTTCTCCTGACCGATTCCAGCCACGGCGGCTAATCTCATTGAGACTAGCCAACTGCGCAGGAGATATTATAGTGCACAAGTGTACGCGCAGACACAACGTGCACTCTCTATTCCTGTCACTCTCATATTCCGGTGGGACGACTGCTCGACACGACCGGTGAGAGTTAGGGCTCAGGACCGACGGCTTTACGTGCTCTCCGAGGTACGGGGGTGAAACACCGCTAACTTCCCAACTCCGGGCTGTTACTGAGGCTTACTACACAGAAAGACTCGATAACTAAACTTGGCCCGACCCGGGACTCGAACCCAAAACCTCCGGGTGTGCAGCCGTTCATGCTAGCCACTACACCACACACACCACCGAGGCAATTAATAATATGTATATAGGCCATATAATAAGAATAATATTCTATTATACAAACACCTACGTATATAATTACGCGTATACAATTAAGAGATAATATCAGTATGTGAATAAAAAACATCTTCCTCAAATAGTGGAAAACAAAAATTAATAATTACGTTAATTTTTAAACTATACCTGTTGACGTAATATAAGTGCTATAAATTGATATTTTAAATAGTAAGAACATGATAAATAAAATAGGATAGTTTAAATCGTTTCTAGGAATATTGTAAGGACAACTTTATACTTATAGATGCGATCTAAATAATTCCATGGAGGCAGTCGTGAGTTAAATTCTATAAATAAAATATAACATGCGCTTAAAGGAATACATTACAGTAATTTTCCAGAATGCCATAAGAATACAGAACACAAGCGAAAATAGTCTTTAAAAGAAATCAGACTCAGACTAGGGAATCTAATATATTTAAGTGAACAATTCTTGTATATATGTATATATATAATCTGAATCTCAGAAACGACTCCAACGATTTTCGTGGAATTTAGTATACAGGGGGTTTCGGGGGCGATAAAGCGATTTTCGATTATCGATTCGCACGCCAGGATATAAGCATCGTGGTCAAGCGGCCAAGGCGAAAGTATGACAACCACAGGTGTCTGGGTTCGTATCCCAGTCGGATACAAAGTTTTTACTTTTGTTTTTTTGTATTTATTCAAATTTTAGTTTGTTTTTTTTTTTAATGTTTATTTGGCCAATAACTCCGAGCGAAGTTTGGTCGCCCAGGTACTAATTATTAATATAGACAAAGTGTCATTTATCTTTATTAAGGGAGAACTAAACATGAAGCCAAACAATAATAATGTTTTAAAATATGACAAATTTTATACTGAGTGATGAGTATACTCGTAGAAATGTTATAAATAAAAATTTCTAACGAATTTATTATAATAAAAAAAAACCTACTACTATTATACGTAAATGCGAAAGTTTGGATGAATGGATGCTTGCTACTCAATCACGCCAGAACGGCAGAACGTATCTGGATGGAATTTGACATAGAGATAGATTATAGTCTGTAATAGCATATAAGCCCAGAAAAATGTACGGTTCGCGTGGGATACATTTGTTTTTGTTTTTCACAAAACAAGGGTCGACTATCTATTTCATACTAACTGTTAAAACGTACCTACGCACGAACCCGAGCGTAGCGAGTGTGAGTCACTAGTGAGCTAATATTATGCTATCTCCCTTTTAAGGTGAAGTGAACTAATGCTTAAAAAATAACAACAGAGTTATTATTTTTAGTATTCATATTTATCTATAAAATATATTTATATATAAAATATTCTTTATTTTTAAAAAAAATGAACGATTTGTATGGCAAAATAGATAATAGTAGCATAAAGATAATCACGCTATTCATTTTGCCTTTGATATTTATTTTGGCGGACTCCGTCTATATTTCATTAGACTAAGATCTCAGCTATTAAGTATTATATATATATATATATATATATATATATATTATGTATTATATATATATATATATACTACACTACAACTTTAACACAGATCTGCCGTAATTACGGCAAATCTGTACTCTCAACAATTGCAAACCATGATGAAAAAGATAGCCGTTAAACAAACGAGACTGCTCAGTTGCTCTAGCCCACTGCTGCATCAGGACAACGCAAGACCACACACTGCTTATCAGACGGTCGCTAAATTAGAGCAACTTCGATTAGAATATCTTCGATACCTACTATAATCTCCAGACCTTGTTCCAACAAATTACCACTTTGGACAATTTCTTACAAGGAAAAAAATTCAATTCCGATAAGGCAGTCAAAACCACCTTTTCACAATTTTCTTAGCAACGCAATCAATGAACTAACTATAAAATAATGAAAATGCATAGATAATAATAGTACATACTTTGATTGATTAAATATATAATTTCATAATTTTTATTCGTTTTACTTTTTCCATATAAAATGCTAATTTTACATGTAATGACCTATTACTTTTTAGTGCCTTGTAGTTTACATTTTTTTAAGATATTTTTCTCATTTTTACTGCTGTTATAATTTTGCTTCGGGCGGTTGTAACAACTTAATGTAAAAAAAGATGCAAATTATGAGAAAACGAAACGTGATATAACTTTTAATTTGTACACATTTGTCGTTTTGCAGATATAAAAAAAAAACAGAAATATGACCACTGCCCACTTTGAAGTCTATATTAACTGAACACGCTAGTCAACCTGTCTTTAAGAAATTGGTGAATATACTGTTTAAATACCCGTCAAACAATTTTAAACTCAGTCAAATTAAGACTAGGAAGAGGAAGATAATTTAATCAATACTACGATATGTTTATTTTATTTCTTACACTTTGGAAATTTCTATGAAACATTGTACGTAATTATTAAAATACGGTTTAAAACTTATGTCAAGAACATTTATACCTTTATTTACCTAGCATGATCGTTTTTTGTTCTAGGCGTTAATAGAACAGTGAGTGTAGGGGCAAATTAGATGTTTAAGATCAGATGTAACCACTATAAATACGTGATCTGTTGTGTACCGTATCATAATCTACTGAATGTGAAACTGTGACGGTAAGCCTTGCATAGAATGTAACATAAACTGCAATGAATAATATAAAAATTTATTTAATATGGATATTACTTAATACATTTGTTTCTTATAGATGGTTTCCAAACCGATAGTATTGCTGTGCTGCTTTTTGGCGTCAGTGCTTGCTGTGCCTGTGGAGAAGTACTCAGATAGGTTTGACTATATCAACCTTCAAGAAATCCTGGATAACCCGAAGCTGCTTAGAGGGTATAGCAACTGTGCCCTTGAAAAGGGCCCGTGCACTCCTGAAGGCAAGGAACTGAAGGGTAAGCATATTCAGTAATTATGAAAGATACTCAAATAACATAAATAAGTAGTAAAGTTACAAAATTCTTTTTTATAAAAAAAAAGCCTCAACAGAAGATCGAAGTGACTATTAATTCAGTTACTGTATGAATAATTATTAATTATTGGTCCAGCTACTTTATTCTGTTTTTTTTCAATTTAAAATTTAGAATATATGGATAAAAGATTATCTGCCTATTCGTAAATTTTGATTTTCGATTCTCGCTAGGTTTTTTTTTTTATTTCAAACCCAGAACCCTCAATATGATAATTGCTTTATGTTATTTAAGATTTGGTGACAGTTTTAACTCGAAAATTATAGGTGTCGGACCGTATCAGAAGAATTGAAAGTGTAAATGTATTTTTTTTTGACAATACGCTCCATGTTTGAGAGAATGAGAAGAAGATAAATTTATTTTGTGTCTCCTTCGAAAGCTCTAAATTAAAGATGGCGGCCCTATATTTGTAAATACCCATAACATGTTCTCTTATCCTCTTTGTTAATTAAAATTATATAAAAAAATATTTTTTTAATAATCAATAGCCGGACTAATAAAATAATATTAGTAGTACATTAACTACTCGTATATTAATAGGTTCAGCCAAAGCAGATCTATAATAACACTATATCGCCAACGTCAACAAATTAAAAATTTTGGCGAAATTTTCACTTAGTTTCCACTGTTTTATTCATTTCTAACATCATAGTTTTATTTACATTTATTTACACATCCAGTGTTACTTCATCCTACTAAAGCTGCGGTTTGACCGAAATGAAATAAGACTCTTGTAATAGGTAATTTAAACTCGATATGTTTTCTAACCACAAATTCTCTTTGAAAATTAGTAATTTTTTTTACTTATAATATTTCACTTTTTGTATAAATTGAAACTTTGATCGCTGTCAGGCTGGACGGATTTGTATGAAATTTAATACACATATAAACCTGGAGTAACATATAGGCAATTGAGTGGCCCGTAGGGATGTACCCGAGCGCAGTAGGGATAAGTCGAAAATGCTAAAGTGTAAAATGTTTCTTATTAATTTTAGTTTTTATTTTGATATATAGACTTCAAACATGGGTTTTTAAACTCGTAAATTGACTTAAGATATGGATCAAACGTCAATTAGAGTCGCTAGTACAAAATTTATAAAATACATAAAGACATCGTCATACGTTGACAAATACCTACAAATTTTCTTTTTCTTCCCAGAACATATTCAAGACGCCCTCGAGACCGGCTGCGAAAAGTGTACTAAAACTCAGTTAAACGGAGCTACTACCGTGATTGATCATTTGATTAAAAACAACCGTGAAATTTGGAAGGAATTGACCAGCAAATATGACCCTGAAGGTATCTGGAGGAAGAAATACGAAGACCGTGCGAGAGAAAAGGGTATAGTAATCCCTGAAGACTAAAATGTTATAAATAAACAGACCTGAGCTTTCTAATACAATTATTATTTTCTTGTTTAAATAAAACCTTTTTTATCTAATATTTCATTTATCATTTTAACTTCAATTTTGCCATTAGTAAATGTGGGTTAAGTCGAATAGACAATTACGTGGTTTTGTCCTTATAAACTTATAATTATCGTAAATTATAAAATTTCAGCACAAAATATAAAAACTTAAAAAAAAATTAAAACCGACTTCCAGGCACTAAAATGTAAAAAATAACTAAACGGGGGGTTTTCTATTAGAATAGATATTTTCGAAGTCGGTGCCAGCGGATACAAAGCAAGTCTAATATATTTCGATACGTAAAATACATCACATCACAACTATAATTAGAGTTCATACCTAATCATATTTACCTATTAGATATTTATATCTTAAAATATTATCGGCTGGCACCGACTTCGAAAATATCTGGTTAGGTATCTATTCTAAATACAACCCCCGTTCAGTTATTTATTACATTTTAGTGCCCGGAAGTCGGTTTTTTTAAGTTTTAATTTTTTCATTTTAGTGTAGACATAATAAGCAGGTAATTTGTAAGAACAAAGTTTTTTTTAATAACTTATTCGATTAAGCAATTTATTTAAAAAAATAATTTATTGTTGATTTTTTAAAAACCGCTCGACCGATTTCGATAAAATTTAAATGGGACCACCTAGGAAGTAAACCCTTTGAAACGAAAAAAACTAAATCGGTTCAGGCGTCATCGGGTGAATACATAAAATTCTATTCGGTGAATACATAAAAAAAAAGGTTTCCGACGAATTGAGAACCTCCTCCTTTTTGGAAGTTGGTTAAAAACTTATTATAAAAGTAAATAAACACTGCTATTTTAATTAAATGCTTTTAAGAGGACGAATTTATCATAAAAAAACAATGAACATTGAACAAAGAAACAACTTTTTACTTTATATTTTCTAGTAACTGAAAATCTATTATATAAATATGTCTTATATTCTATCCATTTAATCTATTTTTTGTTCTACATCTATGACTTTCTATAGGGCTATCCTATGAGATATTATATGGAGCTGCTCAGAAATTTCACGAAATATATTAAAACAGTGCATTTCATAGCAAACAATTAAATAGATACGAAGTTAAGTAAAAAGTTAAAAAAATAAAAAAAATAAATAAATAAATGGGGGTTTTCATTTACCTCCTATAAATTATTTTCGAAGTCTGTGCCAGTAGAACTATTATCGGCAATACAAACGATTGCAAAGTTTCAAGTCGATATGACAATTAGAGGTAGGTAGGTAAAAAGTTTAATTAGATCTGTTATGAAACTTGAAATTTCATACTTTTTCCTGCTTTTCTCAAAAACGGTATACTCTATGTCAAAGAAAATTTTGTAAGACCTCCTCCATAGGAGATCCTGATTTTAATAGAATACAGCTTAAAATAGCAAAATCAGTCAATAAAAAATTTAAAAAAAAATCATACATACAGACGAACATAGAACCTCCTTTTTGGAAGTCGGTTAAAATGTAGTTTAAGGGGTCCTCTTCGAATTAGATATTGGGGTAGGATATTGAACTTTCATGCCTACCACAGATGACCTTATTATACTACTTACTAGTATAGATGCCACATTCTATATGTTATACAAAGAAATGCGACACCGCTAATTGGGGCTAATTTTCTTCGGCTTAAATAGCTACACATATTTGCATAGATGTTAATTCGCAAATTGTCAAATTATTTTACTTTATAAATATATGAAAACTAAAATATGATAAATATTGCAAAATAATTTAATTGAACGAATTTCAGTAAAGTTAACAGTTTTAAACCGTGATGAATAGCCTATGAAAAGTAAAAAAAAAAACTATGAATATACCACTCATTACCCGATACCTAATTTTTCAATATATAATCAGTAAAATTATGCAAATACTTGCGAGTGCATTATTTCGTTTTCCTTTAAGTTAAAGCTTTTATAACACCAAAATATACCTTTTTTGATCTAAATATTTTTCTAATGATAATTTTTCACAATATTCAATATCAAATCGAAAAAAATAACATTTTTAAACTAATTTTTCTTCTTTACTGATGAGACTCATGCACGTGCGAAGCGTGTGGTAAAGACAAAGTCCACCAAAGTTCTTACTCCTAAATGACAGGACCATCAGATTTTAATGGATATAATATCATCCGACAATTTTTTTTATAATTTACTTATCTATGGATAAACATGATCATTAGTGTGTTTTTTTACTGAAATACTTTTTATTTAGTTACGTACACGTTTTTACACTTAAAAAAATATTACTAAACGTGGAAAACAAAAACAATATTTAAAAGCAAGAAGCGTAGGTAATATTTAAGGAACCTTTATAGAAGGCGATTTAATTTCATTCTTTAATAAATTATTCTGTTTATAGCTTCCATTTACATTAATATACTACATAATTGCAATGATTCATATTTGTTTACACAATATTCTCGTATTTATTATTATAGATCTATATATAACCAGATTGATTATGTAGGTACATATTATACACAAAAATAAAGAAAAAATATACATTCTAGAATCTCATACTCATATAAACATATAGTTGTTATTTAGTTAAAACTACCATTATACATATTATTAGTAATATAAGTATTTAAACGCTTAGAATAAGCAAATACAAATAATGAAGAATATTAAGCATATTACATAAAATGATTCATAAAAACTTAAAAAAACCGACTTCCAGGAACTAAAATGTAAAAAATAACTATACGATGGTTTTCGAAGTCGGTGCCAGTCGCAAATCTAATATATTTCGATACGTAAAATACACATTTACCTATTAGATATTCATATCGTAAAATATTGTCGGTTGGCACCGACTTCGAAAATATCTGATTAGGTATCTATTTTAAATGAAAACCTCCGTTTAGTTATTTTTTACATTTTAGTGCCTGGAAGACGGTTTTTATTTTTCCATTTTTAGTGTAGACGTAATAAGCGGGTAATTTGTAAGAAGAAAGTTTTTAATAACATATTCGATTAAACAATTTATTAAAAAATATATTTATTGTTGATTTTTTTAAAAACCACTCGACCGATTTCGATAAAATTTATATGGGTCGACCTGGAAAGTATAATTAATATCCTTTTAAAAAAAATCCAAATCGGTTCAGGCGTCCTTGAGTAAGTAATCGGTGAACACACATTAAAAAAACCGACGAATTGAGAACCTCCTCCTTTTTGGAAGTCGGTTAAAAACCACATCATCATCTATAAGATAAACCTATTATAAACAACAAAAAAAAGTTAATGTTCAAGTAAATTCAAGGCACAAACAAACGTTTTATAAGTCTACGGAAACCGTCAAATTATTATGAATGCATATACAGGTTGTTTTAGTATTTCACTAAACTAAACACAAACAAAACAAATATAAAATACAAAATATTGTTATTCATATATGTATGAGTAAACTTTATATCGTATTTTATTGTGGCCGGGACAGGAAGGAAGTTTATTTCTACTTGAGTTTATCGAGTTTTGAATAAAATTCTTAATACAATTTTTATTTATTATTATTAAAGTAACGAAAATTTTAAAACAATTACAATTACAGTTATTTTTAATATTTTTTATTACTACACCAGTTTTCAAATTTTGTACTTGAAAACTAATTTCAAATATTCTAATTTTAGATTTTTTTTTATTTATTACGATTCACCAGTGGTAATTACATTATTACAGTAAAAAAATATGGTATGTTACAAAGTTCTTATTGCTAAATGCATTACCTTTGAAGGTGAACACCGTATGCAATAGGTGTGACATAGTTTTATACAAAAACAACAATTCTATGATCTAAAGAAATTAAATAAAACAAATAAATTAAACCAATAAACAAATCTACCAAATAAATCGAGATATACTTAACAAATCAAGAATGTTAATTATTTATTTTTGGAATATTTTTTTACGTCTTTGCGAAACTTTGGCAGCAACAAGCAAGCAAGCAGCAAGTATTAAACTACTTGTATAAAATGTTGTATATAAATATCATATCTATAAATAAGAAATATAATAATTTTGCTCATAATACAAGAATCATCTTGAATTCCTAGTAACATATTATGACTAGACTATCAGACTATCTGACCATATATCTGACCATATGAGTATAATAAAGACATTGCAAGTACAATGAACTTGTTTGATTTATAATTCAATTTCTTCCGATAAATGTTTTAACAATTTTTAATCTTAAAACTCTTTATGCGATCAATTAATTAATAACTATTAGTCAACAACTAATTAATTATTATAATTCAATATTGAGTCCAGTTATAATGTATATTATATTTAAACGAAATATTTGAAATAGACGTAAGTGGTAAAAACTCCAGAACAACATGTAAAAAATTTTTACGAGCAGGAAAAACAATATCTAAGGTTATTTTTTATGAGGATATCATATTTGGTAGGGTATTTGAACAATGAGCATTTAAAAAATAATAATGATGAACGCAACGGATGAAAGTGAAGTAAGAAAAGTCATAGGACGTCATCACAAATAAAATAGTTGAAATAAATGTCAATAGATTATTGTATCGATTTACTATTTAAATAGCGATTAATTAACACACGATAAATAAAATTAAAATTTTTAAAAAACCCCCGACACAAATAAATCTCTAGAAAGTAAAAAAAAATCTTTCTTGGCCGTCGGAGGACCGCTATTATCTACTATATCATTATCAATCTCCTTTTTATTTGTATTCCGGTTTTTATTTTATTTACTTAGCGATTCCACGACGTGGTGACGCTCATTATCAAAATATTAACTTTTAATGAAGTTAATAAGGCCAAGAGAGATTTTTTTTTACTATTTAGAGATTTTTTTTTGTGTCGTTGGCTACATGCTTTATTTATTTTAATTTCATTCTTTCTATTATATAATATTTATCTAATAGATATTAATTCTATTAGATAAATATTAATTCTATGAGACTATCCTTATGAGCACAAACACGCTTTTGTAACACCCTTAAAAATTGAAAAAACTGTAGAAATCGATAATTTTTACTTAGTAAATTACATTTTTTTAAATAATTGAAAAAGTGTACTTTATTATAATTAAATTATTGCAGGAATAAAAAATGAAAAAAAAAACAAAAAAAAATAAAAAGACGGGATTTTTGGAAGTATATCCAAAACTTTGAGGTTATTGTAAAAGTCGTAGATTTTTACTAGACCTAAAACTTTTGTAAAGGATATTTCGATAGGATGTCACAGCTGGCCAGAAATTGAAAAAAAAACTATTTTTCAACGCTTTGCATATATACATTAAAAAAGTATATATGGCTTTGGGTTAGATAAATAAAAGAAAATCTATCCCACGGGAACTCTTTAATTTTCCGGGATGAAAAGTATCTAAAATGTTGACCGGGGATATAAGGCACCACCATGCAAAATTTCACTTAAATCGGTCCAACAGTTTCGGAGGTTAGCCCGTATAAACAGACAAACAGATAAACAGACAAACAGACAGAGATACAAAGAAAAAGTGAAAAACATCTGGATTTATTCTATTTCTCTTCTTACATCCCCCTGACTCGGTTTTTAGCATTTTTTTCTATGTACAGACATTCGACCTCTACAGTTTTATTATATGTATAGATAAAACACATATTTATAAAATGAAACAGTTTAACTATTTTCGAATCAACGACATCTATTTTATCTATTTAAGCAAACAAAAATAGCTCGAATTAGCTCTGTCCAATTTCTTGATATGGGATAAGGCATCTCAGATGCTTATAGTATTATCGCGTAATGGAGAGTGTGTAACGTCATTACGCCAAAAATAATAAATAAAAAGACACGTCTGAAACATGCTTTATACATCCTAAGACAGTTGTTAAAACATTTCCAGAGAGGCATCGAAGTTACTAGAAGTTTTGAACTCAGACAAGAAAAGTTAGCGTAAATTGTCATGTGTAAGAGTGAGAGAGGAACAAAACATTCGAAATTACTAGATTTCGAATTTCTCTTCTTCTAATCGAATACTAGAATATTCTTCGTTTTTGCATATAAAAGGGCCGTTGAATTTCGAAGCTAAGTGAAAAATGAGAAAAAGTACGAAAAAGTGGTGAAAATTGGTGTTCAGTGACTGAGCTTAACCAGAACTGTGAATATACTGAGCGTGTTAGTGAATCTCCATAAGTCACTCTTGTCACGGTAATTGTTATATGTAACATTGCCGTGCTCTTGTTAACAATGAGTAATAAAACATCAATAGTACAAAAGAAATGCGTTAATTTCCGATCCCCGGACTCATAGAACTTAACAGTAATATGTAATCTGTGGTAAAATGAAAATATTATTATCAATCTTATTTTATCCATATTTATATAGTAGGGAAATATGAATATCAGTTATATTACTTATTGGTATGTATTTTTTTGTTGTTTTATAAATGGACCTATTGCGAAAATTATAAAAGTAGATAGACAAAACTTTTAAAATAAAAAAAATGTGATTGTTATTAAATATAGTAAACATTCAATTACAATTTAAAAAAATAAAAAGTTTTGAGGAAGCTAATCTAAATAAAACCTCCTATGCATTACACATTTTTTATAGCTAGGACAAAATTCGTTTTCACGGGCAAATTATGTTGATGTTTTAGGTGATTAGTTGTTACTACTTACTATAAAAACACACTGGCATTATGTATCGTATCATAAGTCACTGAGTGACAATCTGTGATGGTAAGTCTTAAAAAATTATATCTGTTTTCATCTATTTTTAAATTCCAATGAATTTAAATTAAATTTTAAAAATGTTATATTTTTACTTTTACTATTAGATGGCTTTCAAACCGATCGTGTTGCTGTGCTGCTTCTTGGCATTAGTACTTGCTATACCTGTGGAGAAGTACACAGACAAGTATGACAATATGAATATTGAAGAGATTATTGAAAACGAGAAACTGCTGCATGCGTACGTCAACTGTCTCCTCGACAAGGGCAAATGTACTCCTGAAGGCAAGGAACTGAAGGGTAAGCACTTGGAGCAATGTTTACCTGAAATAAACCTTTAAAACAAAAAAAATATCTAAAAAAATACTGTAAGTAATGTTACGAAGAAATAAAAAAAAATTGGCCATCACGGGACGTCCGGCAGAGGTGAAATATCTATATTAATATTGAAATTCATAATTAATCAAAACCTATAACGAAATAAAGAAAAATAGACCTTAGTTAATATATTTTTTATTATTTTAATTATATAATATAAATTCATAAATAGAATAGAAAATATGTAAGTATTTTTAATAGAGACTGTTTTATAATGGACCGTGTATAGTATAAGCGCACGCACACACAAGGGATTCGAGAGCGGTGGCGCAGAATGAGTCAAATAAATTAAAAGTAAAAAGCATTTTTATAAACAAGCTTGTATTTAAAACTCTAAAAAGAATAAAATAAATTTTAAATTAAATCAAACCCAACAATTTATTACATTACACAATTTATTTATTATAACAGCTTATCCCGAAATTTACCTATTTTAAATATTATAATATAATAAAATATTATCCTTGTTTATCTACACAGGTAAATCTCGGGACAAGCTTTTATACCATATAAATTATTTTCTTCTTTTTAGAGCATTTAAATAAAAGCTTGATTATAAACATGTGTTTACTATTAATTTCTAATTGTGCATTGTATTGGGAACCGAACTGGTGTGCCAAATTTCAGCTCAATCAGACACTGGAAAGTGGATCAAATTTAACTTGCAAGATTCCATTACACAGAACGGGACAAGTGAAACTAAATGAAAGCTTGTAAAATTTAAAATTGTATGTTAACAAAATAACGACATGGTATTTTTCTATAAAAAAAGTTCAACATTAAAAATCTTTGTAATAACAAATTTCGTTTTTTATAGAACACATTGAAGATGCATTGGAAACTGGCTGTGAGAAGTGTACTGAAACTCAAAAAAATGGAACTACTACCGTGATAGATCATATCATCAAGAACGAACGTGCTATTTGGAAGGAATTGACTGACAAGTACGATCCTGAAGGTGTCTGGAGGAAGAAATATGAAGACCGTGCGAGAGAAAAGGGTATTGTTATCCCTGAAGACTAAAACCTTGTACACAAACAGATTTGTGCCTTAAGCATAGAATGCATTTTTAAGCATTATATAATGTATATTGAAATAAAATGTTCTACATAAAATGATGTTTATTTTTTATTATTCCAATTTACGCTCTTGGGCCGAGCATATACCAGCTCACATAAAATACTGCAAAAATAATAATATCTAACAGCACTATTAAGGACAGTGAAATTACAAATAAATATATTTAAGCTGTTTGTCCATTTTTTTAAGATATTTAATTTTTATGAGCCATAAATAATAATAAACATTTTATTGATATACATCCAATAAAATTACGAGCACAGACGTTCTATGTCACGAGTGTACCTTAGGAGATGGACATATAGGTACTATTGCAGATTTTTTGTAGGCCTTTTCAAGGCCTACAATTTTTTTGTACATTGTTTTGATGTATGTTTTAAGGTTTAGCCAGCGGAAGGTTTCTAACGAGGATTTGATAAATACAGTTATTTTGTTTTCCCGTGAGAAAAAAAGATTTTCCTAAAGTAAACGGTATCCTAAATGTTGACCCGAGTAATAAGTTATCACTTCACTAAATTACGTTGAAATCGGTTTATTACTTTTTGTTTGAAACGCGCACACACAAACAGACATACAGACAAACAGACAGAAATAGTAAACATCATTGTTTTGAGTTTTATTGCGTTAGTAAAGACAATACTACAATACTAGTTTTTCTCAAATATCTTCCATGTACAGAGAGCGATTAGTTACAATTTTATTATGTATATGTATTGATTTATATCGAATATTATATTTATAATGCAATTGTAACGCTGATTTACATAAAAATTTAAGTTAAAGTTACGTTATTTTGGTATAACATAGGGAACATCCAATAGCAATGTAATGAATAAGCAACAATGATTACGTTGTTGTGTTCCGGTTTGAAGGATAAGGTAGCCTGCGTAATTACAGGTAAGAGGCATGTCATCTTAGTCCTCACAGTGACAACGCACCTGCGGTTCCATTTTTGTAACATACCTAAGTGCATGAACCGTAGGTGTTATGGGCGACATGTACTGCTTTCCATCAGGTGGTCTGTCTGCTCGTTTTTTGTCATTGAACACCACAAAAAAAAAGTGTACAGTGAGAACGTTGCGTGGTAAAGTGACGTCACGGGAGCATGGCGCGCTCACGCAAAATATTTGAATAGAACGAAAACTAAAATTGTTGTAACTTCAATATTACTTGCTTTAAATTACTTAATTATCAATTGCTTACTTGATTTAAATGAAACAAAAACAGGTGTATTTTAAACATTTAGGCTACTGTGACTGTTATAAAGTTTCAAGTCATTTTGCAGACCCAGTGGCATTCCTTATTGCGTCCGGTCTACGTACTAATTTTACAGCGAGTGTGTGTGGACATGGACAAGTTCCGGAAAGGCTTTGATTTTTTTTAAAACAAGCAAAGGACAAAAATTATTGTTATTAAACTATAATCAAATAAAACATCACAGATTAATCATTTTATTATCATTTTATAAGATAATTTTTTTGTCATTCTTACGGCATGGCATTAGAAAAAAATACAACTTATAAAATATGTTAAAGCTTTGATATATAATTAACTACTTATATTCAATTAGCACACAATCATCTATAAAATTGAATAGACACAGTATGTATGTAATAACCATTTAAGTAACAGTTTTACTTTCTTTAGTTACTAAGTGTGTCTGAAATTGAGTTTACATATTATGTTATTTTATTAGCCTTAACAGGGACTTATATTTGAGGCTAATTTTACACTTCGTTACTTGATAATAGTATTATGCTCGTCGTCAAAATAACAGTCAAATGACAGACGACGGTATTAACGATTGTAATATGTATGTGAAATACAAAAGTTGTTGGTATTTTTAATTAGGTATATGTGCTTTTAAAACTGGGTTAGAAACTGTCCAATAATTTGAGGTTTCTATCGAATATTTAACATAAGAATTTATAACTAAACCTCATTCATGTACGCATTCAAAGGTGGGCCTTTCCGCTGCGATCTCCTTTGTATCATTATTTTAATTGTAAAAAAATCCCCCAAATATAAAAATAAGAAATAATTCCTAAAGTAGCTATAACACAGATCAAATAATATTATACGAGTCCAGATGTCCCATCCCAAACAAAGAAATTGGACAGCGCTATTTCGGGCTATTCTTCAGGCTTTTTTTTGTTTGCGTTTAGAAATATAGTATATTACCTCATTGCTGGTCTTTGAATAATCAGAAAAATTAGGGAAAATTTTATTTACATTATTTCGTTTTTCTTTCATTTTATACAAATTTCAATATCGAATCGCTACACATCTATTAACATTTATTTGAACAAAATATTCGTTCCTAATAAGATCCGATGGTTATAGTAAAAAAAAATTGAGTGCGCCGATTTGTATGAAATGAAATAGTTTGCTAGTTTTCTGGTATGTGAAATCTATCGGCTGAACAGTAAAAGGAAAATATTATCCTAATTTCTTTATATTTGGCGGTGTTTCTGTACTAATATACTATTATGAAACTGTGACTAAAGTACTGTGTGAATGCTATTTAACTTTAGAAGCATTATTGGCTAAAACAAAAGAAGTGACTTAGAAACATCTATCGATTTTATAGACTTCCAGAGATACTCCATACGCTTAAGTGGACTCAATTCTTCAATTCCATATTATATGAAGCGCCAAGATTACTTCGATAATGTAACGTAGAATGAAGAAGACATGATTTTTTTTAATTCGAAATTTAAATAAATTTCGATTTCGATATTTAATATAAATTAAAAAGTTTTTGTTTTTGCCTTTTAAACCTAAAAAGGACCACAAAGGTTATACGGAAAATATTCCTTTTTCTCTAGTATCATAAGCTCATTACATTTAATATGTGTATTTTTACTATTTTCCAGAATATCAAATAAAAGAAAAACACCGACAAAAGTCAGAGGATATAGCTAGTTTCTAGATAATTAACTGTAAACAAGTATACATTGAGCTTAATAAAAACATCATAGTGTAATAATTTATACTTGGAAATTGGGGAATTTTATGAATATCTAAAACAGTTTTTAAAACAGAAAAACTGAATATGGAAAAAAATGGTTAATTCCTATTATACAAGTAAATTCAAGGTAATATAAGACGTCGTTTTTTTCCACGAAAATAGACCGCTCCGAATCCGTTTATTTTTAAGAGAAAAAATTACAACCTGAAGTTTTATTTTTTATAACGCTAACAGGCAAATAAGGAACAAAAATCCATTAAATGCCTTCGATGTTAGCTACCCCCGAGAAATGAGGGGATGAAAAATGTTGGAAAATAGTTTTCTTTTTAATTTCCGGCGTACTGTGATGTCCTGTAATTATACGTTGATATATATTTATATATATCAACGTTTTCCAACCCTCCATTTGCCGGGGGTAGCTGGACATCGGGGGCATTTCACGGAATTTTGGTCCTTATAAACCTGCTATCGTTTTTAAGACACAAAACTTCAGGCTTTAGTTTTATTGTTCCCAAACCGGATTCCGATTGGATTATATTGCGAAAAGAAATATTTTAAAATATTTTTTTACTAAAAAATATTTTATATAAAAAAATATTTTAGTGTATAAATATGTTAGTAATAACAACACTATATTCGGCAGTACGGAACCTTCGATGCACGAGTTGAAATCGCGCTCACTTTTGGAAATCATTACAGCCATCAAATTATAATTAGTTACTAGTGAGTCACCGTCGTTTCGCTCGGCTGCGTCTCTAGGTACGCGGATTTTGTTTACAATTTCATGGGTTTTAATTTTTTTGCGCGTAACCCTTGATTCTTTTTCTAATATAAAAGTAAGATACTTTAAGCCTAAAATACTCCTTATAACATCAGCTATCTGCTAGTGAAAGTCCCGTCAAAATCGGTCCAGCCGTTTCGGAGATTAGCCGCGACAAACAGACAGATAGACAGGCAAACAGACAGACAGATTAGTAAAAAGCTGTTATTTTGATATTACAAATAGACACTTTTATTTATCTGTATCACTACATAGTATAAAACAAAGTCGCTTCCCGCTGTCTGTCTGTCCCTATGTATGCTTAGATCTTTAATACTACGCAACGGATTTTGATGTGGTTTTTTTAAATAGGTAGTAATTCAAGAGAAAGGTTTTTATGTATATTACATGCATATTATAGTAGATAATAACCGAGAAATTCAAAGATTTCTATTTCATACTAACCGTTTAAACGTACCTAGGGACGAACCCGAGCGAAGCGTGGGTGAGTCGCTCGTAGACTATTTAAATAACGTTACGTCAAAGAGTTTATTTTTTGTAGTTTCAACGCGTGCGAAGCCGCGGGTACTGCTAATACTTACCTATATAAAATTTTCCTTAATCTTTAAAGATAATAAGCAATGTCTACGACAAAATCGAAAATAGTAGCTTTAAGCTACTATACCCCAAATCACGCTACTATTTTTGACTTTGAAATTTTTTTAGCGGGAATCTCTTTAATTATTTAATCTTATACAATACAAATAATAAGGTTATTATCAGTATTGTTTAAAGTTACAGTTTTATTTAGATGAAATCTTTAAAATAGGATAACGCAGTCAGGTTTGCGTGATAAAATAGCAAAATCCTTTACAAACAAACTTATGTCATGACGTTTCAAGGAACATATAACTCTTTATTCCTATTTTTTTTAAGTTTAGTAAATAAAAGGTAAGTAAATCGTTTATTCGCAATTGTATAATGTATTATATATATAATTTATATCATATATATCTATTATATGTATATCGCAAATAGAATATGCAACCCAGCGAAACCGGATTTGACTGCTATTTATAAAATATTAAATAATTTGAACCGAACCTTTTTTGATGCATTACACTTTTTTGCAACAAACCTACTGAGGTTTACACGTTTCAGGGGCAAATTAGATGTTTTGAGAGATAACATTTAACTGCTATAAATACAGGGAGTAATATTGTGTACTGTATCAGTAGTTACTGAGTGAGAAACTGAGAAGGTGAGTAGTGAGATTTATAAAAATATTACTCTTGTGGTGACCCACAATCACATTACATATAAATATAAAGATCTATTTAACTACTTATCAATAAAATGTTACTTCATCCATGATGGTAAAATAATTACTGTTATTATGAAAAAAATAGTGCTTACGCTTATGTGATTATCACCTCCAGGTAAATTTGTAAGAAATTAATTATATTTCTAAGAAATCTATTGTTAACTGTAACGCCGGTGTGTCCGCGGCCGTGGAGGTATTATTATTTACCATACCAATATCATATATCTATTTTTTAAATTTTTACTTCTATGTTCATCACGAATATTATTTTAAAAACTCTCAGATTTTTACCGGTATATTGTCTGGTAAAGTCCACTTTACCAGACAATATACCGGTAAAAATGGTTGGCGAAAAGCACAATTGTTTATCCTTTATCCCAATAAAATAAAGACTTACAATAGAATTCTTAATTGTAAAATGAAACAGTAATAATTTAACTCAGGCCTATATAGATATATAGAGCAGCGTGACGATAATAAGGGCTCAAAACTATCAAAGGTTCCCGTAAGCAGGGGTTAAAAAATTACAATTCAAATAATATAGAGTATTTATAATTATTGTTAGAAAATAAAAAGATTTAAAGGAATTACAGAACAATTCAGTATGAGATCTTTTGTAAGAAAGGTTACATTTATATACGCACTAGCGACTCACCCTCGCTTCGCTTGGGTTCTTCCCTAGCTTGATTCCAGCCACAAACTTTCATCCTCATTTTCATACCCTTAAAGGATGATTTCCAGGATAAAAAGTCCTCCTATATCCTTCACAGCGTCGCAATATCTATTTTCTTACCAAATTTCATCTAAATCCGTTCAGTAGATCCAGAGATTACTTCAATTCAATTCTTTAGGTTTGTGGCTTTCCAGAGATTACCCCCTAAACATCACAAACTGACAACCTCACAAACTTTTCCTCTTTATAATATTAGTATAGATAATCAACCCACGTGGACAACGTATGGTCAGCCACCAATACAAATAAAATTACTATGTAATAAAAAAAATATTATTTATACATAAAAAAAAATATTATTTATATAGTTTATTGTAGAATATATACGTTTATTGTTTATACTTATGTATCGTTATTTATGTAAGCTTGTGTGTACTTTATAGTATGTACCGTTTAAGTAAGTTTATTATAGACTAGTTCTTTTTTTTTTGCACCAACCATAATCCATGTCACCCTATGAGTTTCTTTATAATATAGGTTGCCTGGAAGAGATCACTTTAGTGATAAGGCCGCCTTTACACTAATATTTGTTAAGTTATATATTCATTTATATTGTATTTTTAGTTTTGGTGTAATAAAGGATTAATAAAATAAATAAAATAAATAAATAAATATTTATTTTTTTAGATGGTTTTCAAATCGATGGCGTTGCTGTGCTGCTTTTTGGCATCAGTACTTGCTGTGCCTGTGGAGCAGTACACTGACAAGTATGACAACGTCGACCTTGATGAAGTCTTTTTAAACCCTAAGCTGTTTAATGGGTATGTCGACTGCGTCCTCGACAAGGGCCCGTGTACTCCTGATGGCAAAGAATTAAGACGTAAGTTTATTAATTAATTGTTTTATGGCAAAGCTTTCTTAATTGCGCATTGCAACCTTTTGTTCAAAATTAAGGCGGTATATTCCTATCATCAGTACAGAAGATGTACTGCGCCGACCCCAAGTGATTGGGAAATGGGCAGGGAAAAAAATAAATAAATTCCTATCGAATCGTTTTCTAAAAATAAATTATATTTTTATATTTATTAAAACAAACTTTACTTTCTTTTTATTTAGATAACCTTCCAGATGCACTTCAAACTGGCTGTGAGAAATGTACTAAGAAGCAAGAAAATGGAGTCATTACGGTAATAAAACATTTGATTGAGAAAAAACCAGACACTTGGAAGGAATTGACCGAAAAGTACGATCCTGAAGGTATCTGGAAGAAGAAATACGAAGACCAAGCGAAAGAAAAAGGTATCAAACTCCCTTAAGAGTAAAGCATCAATAAAATCTTCAATAAAAAAAGACATTTAAATTTTCATGTTTATGTTTAAATAAAAATCATATACACATATCTTACTTTTATTTTATAACGTATCATCAAGCTACATGCGTCATAATTAAGCAAACCTATACTTTTTGTTAAACAAAACAAATCATTTAGCAATGACTCATCAAAAAAATCCAGTTTTATGAGAATAAAATTATTATTTTTGCATAAATGAAACCTTTATAAACGAAAACTTCGAAATATATCTCGTAAAAAGTTATTTTCAACCGACTTCAAACAGGAGGAGGTTCTCAATTCGACTGTATGTGTTTTTTTTTTTTTTTTTTTTTATGTTTGTTACCTCAGAACTCCGTCATTTATTAACCGATTTGGACAATTTTTGTTTTGTTTGAAAGGGTATACTTCCAGATTGGTCCCATTTAAATTTCAAAAAAAAAATACGACCCCTAAGGGTGGAAAAACGACTAATGATGAATTTAACCTACTTCTAATTGTCATATTGACTTGAAACTTTGCAAGTATTTCTATTTCCGTTGATAGTACAGTGGTTCGGTGTTGTTGACCTGATCTGATGGCAAGGCCAGAAGGTGGATAGGTGGAACTCTTCAACGGCTAATAGTAGATACTTTGAGTTTGGGCTTATTTTGTTTGATTTGACAAGCCTAACACGTTAGAATCCTTACTTTACTACTACTGTCTACACTAAAAAGGGAAAAATAAAAACTTTTTAACAAAAAAATAAAAACCGACTTCAAACAAAAGCACTAAAAAGTATAAAATAACTGATTGGTAGTTTTCATTTACTATACATACCTAATCAAATATTTTCGAAGTCGGTGTGCTTTGCTTTGTATGGGCTGGCACCGATTTCGAAAATATTTGATTAGGTATATATAGTAAATGAAAACTACTAATCAGTTATTTTATACTTTTTAGTGCTTTTGTTTGAAGTCGGTTTTTATTTTTTTGTTAAAAAGTTTTTATTATGTGACAGTGATTGTATAAACTGACTGTCAATTTTCTTCATGGTTTCTTTGATAAAAATAGCTTCAATAAAAAGTACAATAATACTCACAAGCATTATCTAGCCCGACTTATGCCCAATTTCACCAACAACTCATAAGCTACCACCTATCACACGTATGGGATCCCTAGCTTAAAAGTCCCCTGAACTAGTCCCTAAATTAAATTTCGTTTTACGATCGTCCTTAAGCCCATATTTCAAGCACCTAAATTTAGGGGGCCTTTTAATATTTCGGTGACCCCTAATTGTCGGTGAAACAGAAACTGTCCCCTAACAGCCCCCTTACCATGCTTAGGGGATCCCTTAAACTTAGGTGACGTTGGTGAAATCGAGCATAACCCTTGTTTCGCTTAGATGCGCCCCTAAGCGCCTAACGGCAAATGTACGTTGACACGCTCATACAATTCATAATCTATCTGTGTACCTACTAAGTTTCATCCAAATCCATCGAGCCGTTTCGCTAGGGGCATTCACTTGTGTGATGAGCATGGATGTTTGTACTCCAGTCATGGGTGTGTATATTTATAATATGTATGTATTTAAAGTTATATATGTGTAGTATATCAGCTATCTGGTATCTATAACACAAGCCTCGTAGCTTACTATGGAACTAGATGGTTATGTGTATTAATGTTCCAACATATTTATTTATTTATTTAAATAGTAGGCCGATTGGTATAATATGGCACATCAAGTTATAATTATTCTATATATGTATTTGACGACATGTTTAGCTCAGTGTAGTGACCCTACTTGCTGTGCCAGCGGTCGCGGGTTCGAGTCCCGCCGGTGGCATTAATTTGTGTGATGAGCACGAATGCTTGTACTCCAGTCATAGGTGTTTATATTGATATTATCATCTATCTGGTATTCATAACACAAGCTTCATAGCCAGAGCCGGATTTAGACGAAGGCTGACTACAAGAGAGGGGCCGCCACAAAAGAAATTTTTAGAAACAAAAAAACAAATTTTGACTGGTCAACAATTTTTCGTTTTTTTTTTGAGTTATATTTTCGCACTTTTACCTATAATACTTGTACAATTAAAATCGATTATATTCTTCTTAAATATTAAAAACAATATATCCATATTCGTTCACCGCTGTTTGACGCAATCGGGTAAAAAGAGTTTACAGAGGGATTTATGATTATTATTATATATTGTTTATTTTATTATATTAGATAATATATTGTTTATTTTTTTGGTTCTGCGTGAGTTTATTTATTTTATAATTTATAGGTCTGCAATATTATCATCAAATACCAATGTTTTATAAGTAAATTCATGTTTGTTTATTTTGAAATAAATTTTCTTCTATCCTTTTCTATTTTTGTTTCGTATTTTTGAGTGCATGCACATAACTATATCTACTCCATAGATTTAGGTTTACAACTAAAGGTAAACAAAGAACTCATGGGGACTTAACCTTTTATTAAAAAATTTTAAGACATATTGTCAACTAGCGACTTACCCTCGGTTCGCTCGGGTGCGTCCTTAGGTACGTGGATTTTGTTCACAATTTCATGGGTTTTAATTTTTTGCGCGGAACCCTGCTTCTTTTTCTTAAATAAAAGTAGCCTAATTTACTCCTTATAACATCAGCTATCTGCCAGTGAAAGTTCCGTTAATATCAGTCCAGCCGTTTCGGAGATTATACGGTAAAACAGGCAGACAAAAATATAAATTACTTTTTTTCTTATTTGTACCGTATATGCATTTCATGTTTTTAGTAAAAAACCTGTTACTTTGACATTACAAACAGACATTTTCATTTTATTTATCTGTATAGATAAAATAACTGCATTTTTATCATTTATTTAATGAATTCACCCACAATTAAAACATCACTAAAATTAGTTAAGACATATACAAATTTATATACAATATAATATTCAAATTGATGATGTATGTTACGGACTACGAGTCTACGCGACGGCAGAATCTAACTTACGTCACGTCTCTATATTGTATACAATAATAATCTCACAAGACTATATATATTATTACGATTTAGCCAACAAGGCTAATGAGTCATTTAACTTTAATTTAGTTTTATAAAATAAAATATCTAAGAATGTGTCCGATGGCACTTTTCTTAAAGTGTCTAGTTAAGGCGAAGACACTTTGCTCTTGTGTTCTAACAGGAGCATATCTAAAAGTTAAACGCACGGTAGCTTATCTAATAAGATTGTTAATTAGAAATAAAAAACGAGGTTTTGTTCATTCTGCACCATTCGTCGGATAGCCACAGAACGCAACTAGCAAGAAAAGCTAAGGAAGAATCAACCAACGGGAGTTTCATTTTGAAACCCATAAACACAGACCATCATATATATACGAGTATTTAAATTTAGAAATATCCATATAGTATATCATGTTAAAACAAATGAATAAGTTTGAATTATATGTATGGCCTATGCTGTTTAACTTTTTCTGCCCGTGACCACGGCTGGTGCAACCCAGTCAAAACGTCGAGAATAATGTATATAGCCACTAATGAATTCACGCATTTAAGTCCCGTAGTGTAATTATTTTATATGCTGTTGCTGATACCCGACTGCGGCGAAACAGGGTTATGTGTTTAACCTGTATGTGTGTATGTCTGATTCTATGTTATATAACCAATTATGACGATTCATACGTAATTCGATTCGTCTTGATACCGCGAATGTCATAGGCTATATAGATATTATTAAACGTCAAAATGGCGGATCCCTAGGTGTGAATTTGTGAGTCTTGAATTTTTTTTTCATACAAATCAATCGAGTTGGGTATCAAAATACAGGTATTATTATATAAAGAGGAGATAACAGAAATATTTGCAACTTATATGTTCAAGAGTAATTTAGGGTAAGAAGTGGTTAAATAAAACTAAAAATATCTAACTGTCCTAAAAAGTTGTGAATAAAAAAGTTTACAAAAATTAAAAAAACCCAACTGCTTAAAAACGAACTAAATAGAACAGAACAAGTTGACGAAGTAACATAGTATTATGCAGCCGGAGACATACATATACTATGTACCTACATGTTTTAGAATAGATGCGTGTATGTATGTCTCCAACTACAAAATAATGATAATTGGCTAAGTAATTAAAGCCTACCTATTAAATACATACCTAATCAAATATTTTCGAAATCGGTGCCAGCCCATACAAAGCAAAGCAGACCGACTTCGAAAATATTTGATTAGGTATGTATAGTAAATGAAAACTACCAATCAGTTATTTTTTACTTTTTAGTGCTTTTGTTTGAAGTCGGTTTTTATTTTTTTGTTAATTTATTTTTGTATTATTTTTTCTGGAGTTATAATGTGTATTGTCCTTAAAAGCTCTCTAGTTTTTGTAAAACAGTACTTATCTACATCTATATCTGTTCTGAAACATAGTTTTGAATTATTCATTGATCAACTATCTTAGCATAATATTTTGGTGGTGGTGATGATATTTTCTGCCTCGGTGGTGTAGTGGCTAGCATGTACGGCTGCACACCCTGAGGTCCTGGGTTCGAGTCCCGGGTCGGGCCAAGTTTAGTTATTGAGTCTTTCTGTATAATAAGTCTCAGTAACAGCCCGGAGTTGGGAAGTTGGCGGTGTTTCACCCCCGTGCCTCGGCGAGCACGTAAAGCCGTCGGTCCTGCGCCTTAACTCTCACTGGTCGTGTCGAGCGGTCGTCCCACCGGAGTATGAGAGTGACAGGAATAGAGAGTGCACTTGTGTCTGCGCGTACACTTGTGCACTATAATATCTCCTGCGCAGTTGGCTAGTCTCAATGAGATTGGCCGCCGTGGCCGGAATCGGTCAGGAGAACATCATCATCATAATATTTTGTTATATTACACTGATTTGCATTCGTTTACTTAAAAAGTAACTTTATCATATATTATTTATGCTTATATTTAGTCTTTAATTTATATGGTCATTTTAAAGGCTAACTAAAGACTTCTATTCATAT